AAAAAAACGGGTTTCGGTTTAGTTTCGGTTTCGACTGCCATCCAGCCGAAACTACGGCCGAAACCGAAACTGAATTCGAGAGATTTCGCGCTGCGATCGGACATGCTCGATGCACTGAACTGCGAGCGACGAAGAGTCATTTTGCCGCGTCCACGCTCATAGTCGTGTCATAATAAACTTGTTTTGTTTGTTTTATAATATTAGATTGTTTAATTATGAATACTGATAATTATCACTCCATTAAAATTATTAATAGTTGTAGCTCAATGAAGCTCTTAACAGTTTTTTGTAGTTTAAGAGAAAACCCTTTATTTTCATAAGTATTATTTGCATTAAAAATATCTAGTTGTTGTACTTAGTAGGTAGGTACTTTTTAATTTTAATTTTATTGTAGTTGATTAACAAGAGTGCCATATAAAATGACCAAAGTTTATTTTGTTCTTAAGATGAAAGATATTTTTTTGTTTTCTGTAATTACCTAAACATATTAGGTAAAAAGTAATTTTGTTTTGTACCTTTTATTTTGTTATTCGTAAGTAATATTAAAAATAAATAATAGGTAGTAGGTTCAAATTATTTATTTTTTTATTTATTTCAAAAAGTACAAATAATTTATTTGAAATAAGGTGTGATAATATGTTATATTAATGATTAGTTTAAATATCAGAGATTAAATAAAGACTGACTAATTATTATGATTGACTATTTATTTTTCTTCTCACAAAAATATGACTTTAGATGGAAGTTTCGGTTTCGGTTTCGGCCGAAACTGAGACCGAAGCCGAAATTCGGTTTCGGTTTCGGCCGTAAAAAGTAGTTTCGGTCGGACACTAGTTTCGGCGTTTTAAAAAAAATTTACTCATTCAAAAGATATGAATTTTATTCCGTACTTCTGGCCATCCCTGTTTATAAAAGGGGCCCCAAAATTTTGACCACGGAAATGGATTACGTTCGGATATGACCTTGAAATGACCATGAAGGTCAAGGTCAAATATCAAAGATAATGGAAGGTCATTGTTGGTCTCCGAAGGTAACATATATTCTCGGCTAGTCAATAGTGGTCACCGATGGCAATATATAGCCACGGTCGGTTAATAGAGGTCACTAAAGGCAACAGTTGGTCACTGTTGGTCATTAGGCCAAAGGTAAAAGGTGGTGATTGAAGATCAACAGTGGTCACCGAGGGTAATAGTCGGTCTTGGGTGGTCAACAGTAGTCCTCGATGGTAACGGAATAACTAACTTGCCCTTGAAATGACCGGAGGATAAGGAATTTGAGGTCAGGGCGGGGTCAAATCCAAGGTCACCGATTTAGTGCATATCAAGAATCCTAGAACTATTGTGGGGAACATTTTTCCTGGCGGTTATTCTGCCATTCCGGTACTGTTGGTTTTCAGATTTCGAAAAGTTAACCGTTTAGGACATAAATTACTAACTTTTTCCTCAAAACGATCTAATAAATCATCCATATTATTATTTTGTTTACAAATTTGCAGTGTAACGACGATGCCGCCGACTTTGAAGCAAGTAGCATATCAACACAAGAACGATTAGACGACATACTTAATGGAAAACTGCCTTTTCAACTGATGTACATGATAAGGGAAAAGCTGTCACAAAATACGAAATTAAAGAACCGATTTCACAAAGGTCTAAAACACTCAGGTCTAGACGTAAGTAACACCTAGTTAAAGATAATGTATACCTCTTACAACGAATGATGATTTGTAGAACAACTTTCTCAAAGGTCTTAATGAGACAAACATGGAAACGCAGAAGCTGGTACAGTCCATGACGAATATAATGAATAAACTTCAGTACAGCGCGACTTGCCAGGCTATACCACACGGTTTGAAACGCTACCTAAAAATTGTTACCCACGGTGGTAAATTAGACGCCTTAGCAAAGACTAAGGAAATGGAAGAAGTGGAATTTGACGAGAACCAAGGCCAGGACAATTTCATTTTCCAGTCTTCATCTCACGGTGACAATTTCGAGGGAAAAGTCAAAATATTACAAGACCTGTTAGCCAGGTTCAATAAATTGCCAGAGAAATGCAAAATCAGAGCTATGCCTGTTAAGGAATACATAGAAAACCATCTCGGAATGCTCAATAATATGTTGAATACCATGAGCAACGAGCCGCGAAAGAATTTCAAACCTAAGAAGTCTGTCCAGAACACTTCGAACGAATCCATTAAAACCGAAGACGAGCTAATCGAAGAACAACTCGAGAGCTTGGGTCTGGGCAAGCAGCACAAGTTCAAGCCGAAATTCAACTTGGACGAGATGGTAGAAAGCAACAAAGTGCGAAAAGCTTCGAACAGTCAAATTAAAGTCACTGAACGGTCACATGGCGTAAACGTAAATAAAAGGGACTTAAACACTGTTTCTAGATCTAAACAATATGACAAACTTGTAGATGCTGTGAGAAGGTTGAGGCTGAGGAGGGAGGGTAAGAAACGTTTAGCAGAGATGTATGGGAAGTCAAGCAGCGATAACAACGATTATGACCAGGTCCACTATAATTCGAAGTATGAAGGAGATGAAGACATGTCTAAAGCTAATTTCGAGCCTCCTTTAGTATTTAGTTTGTAAATATCTCATAGAAGAGTAACGTATTGTATAATTTTAATTTATTACCTATTGTAGCATATTTGTCTAATAATAATAGAAACAATATACAAATACACTATTTGTTTTATTAATCTATCCGATTATTCTTATTTAATTGCAATAAATTCAATGTTCCTCTAATTTTTTGCACATATTTGAGCGTCATATAAATTTTATTATAATACATTTTATTTCAGAAGGTGTTATCTCTATTTCAGGTTAATCAATTCTATTTTAGAAAATTATTAATTAGTAACCAATAAATTAATTTTAATATTTGTTAGTATCATTAACATTGTTTAACATGAATTGTTGCTACAATACATATAGACCAAGGCGGATCTGTTTTGAGGTGGATATGAGAGGGGGCAAGCAATTTTTTTCTGGATTAACTATAGTACAACTTACATAATAAAAATGTAGATCCCTAGATCTGGGCGAGGTCCGGAACATTTTTAAAATTGCAAAAATGTTTAAAATATTTTAAAAAATACCAATTTTATCCGAGTTTTTTACTTATACCTTGGAACCTATGAATTTTGGAAGAATATTGAAAAGGAAACAAGGTTTTAGAATTGAATTTTGCACAAAATACTGTAAGTTAAAAATGACTAAATTTATTACCGATGCAAAATAGCAATAATTGATGAAAAAAAGGCAAAATAATCAAGTTTTTTGCATAATTTTTTTAAAATATTTTAATTGCTCCGAGGCCATTCTAATTCTAAAAACTTTAGAGTATTAGTAAAACAACACACCAAATTTCATTAAAATCGGTTCTATAGTTTTCGCAAAATAATTTTTTTTTAATTTTCGAGTTTTTAAAATGTTGCACAGCCTCAAATAAAACATCTAGATACTTGAAAATTTATTCACATAGAAAAGACCGCTCAACCTTACAAATGGTTTTTGAAAAATTGAAATCGGTTGATAAAGACGGTAAATTTTTAAAGTCAACACTATTTTTTTTATTTTTAAACGATTAGATTACATTTATTAATTTGAAATTTAGCTTTTTTCAAAAATTATTAATTTAAAGTATTATTTTTCCTTAATTTTATCTGTATATAACAAAAAAATAATTTCCAAATAATTTTTCTTTAATAGTAATAATTATATAGGTATATAATTATAACTAAATACATTCACATTCAGAGTGTTGAAATATATACG